ACCCAAGGAGTCCAGCAGATCTCAGGGATATGTTCAAGCCCCACCTAAGGAGCGCAGTGGTGCTCAGAGAACACACACAATCATGTTTTAAACATCAGCATAATCTACCATGAGCCGTGGCTCATTCTGATGACTTGCATATGTGATAGAGAGAAAACAGTTACTTACCTGTTCTGTATCTGTCGTTCTTTGATATTCGGGTGTAGGCATATAATCCACTCAGGTGTGTTTGTGCATAGCACACCAAGGCTGGTATGCCATACTAGCTCAATCTGAGCCCTGTTTAAAGCCAAGTAGTGGGGAATAAAGAGAGAATAAAAACAGGCAGTTAACATGCCTCAGACTGACTGTTAAAAATATCGCTGAGGGGAGCAATAACTTTTATAATACAAAAATAAACACTAAAAACCTTACATGGTGGATAGTCTGGTATTCACCCGTATGTGGGTGTGTCGCAGCAAAAAAATTTGTCACTGTACCAGGTTGTTTGTTTAGTCCTTGTTTACATACACATATTATACCACTTTAACTATACTAATAATGGGAACACCACCACCCCCAAGTGTTGACACAGTAAAACCAATATAAAAGTGCTTATTCTAATATAGTTTATTCCCATTTGGGAAGGGGAATAAGCTATACCAGTATAGGGATTGTACTGGTACAACTATATTTTATATAGATAGATAGATATAGATTATAGATATATCTCAGTACAGGCTATATCTACACTCCAGACTTCTGCTGGCATCACTGTCGGTCAGGGGCGTGAGGAGGTGTGATCCTGGACCCTGACTGGCAGAAGTCCCCAAGGTCGAAGCAGTTATACCTAGGGTGGGTGGGTTATTATTCTGATACAAAGCACAGTTTTGCAGGTATAGCTGTGTGCATATGAGCATTTGCTGGTAAAGTTTACCATGTTCCTGTACTGGTAAACTGCTGCTGGTCTGCATGTGGCCTGAGTGTCCAGTCTCAGCTCCTCAAGGTGTTTTGTATCTGTTACAGCAATTCACTGCTTTTATAAGAAAAAGTGTTTTTCTTTGTGAGCCACCACTTCTCTGTTCAAGTCCAGTTCCATATTAACATTAGGGTATGACATCCTCCCTTCCAAAAAAAAGCTGTGTTCTGATTGATTCAGGTGTTTTTACAATCTCCACTCTAAGTGGTATGCTGAATAAGCCTTTTTTCTGTGACTGACTAGTCCAGTCCTGCACATGTAGTTATTAGTCTTAATTCTCTTTCCATAATACTTTCAGGATGGATTTTTATTCTCCCTAGTGATACCCATTATTTATTTGTAGATAGCCACGACTGGACATGACCCCACAGGCCATCCTTTGAGTTGTTCACCCTGAACAGAAATGCAGTTTACTCATATGGAAATAATGTAAAAGTTCAGAAATGCAAGGCAAAATTGTAAATGAGATGTCCAGAGTCGTATGTTACACACAGACTTTCCATACTCAGAGAAAAAATGAAGAAAATGTGGCAACCACAACATGCAATTCTGATCCTCCTCTTTTCCCACAATCCAGTCCCCCATGGGGCTGAAAGAAGATGGTGGATTTGATGAGCCTTCTGGGCACCAAACAAAAGAAAATTAAAAAGACCAAAATCTTCTCCCAGATAAATTCCGTTCCTTCCCCCAATTCAACCTTCCCTATGAGCCTAGAGATAGTCAGAAGTGTAATTTTCACTTCCTAGCAGTCATTTGGGCTGTCTTCAGTGTTCCATAGTTTTTGTTTAATGCCTTTCCACTGAAAGGAGGGCATTTTTTCCCACAAGTGTCTTTTTGGGCCCAGACCATCATTAGTTTTTTGTTTGTTTTGTTTTGGTTGGTTGGTTTGGTGATTTGATTTTAAGGCAAAAACAGCATTTACAAATCTTTTTTTGAAGATTTGAAGTGTTAGTCTCTCGTGATAACTCTTCTAGAATTTTCAGCTGTTTCTTACTTGGGAAATATGGATTAACTGGATAACTGAGGAAATGGCCTGTATAGGAAAAAGAATGATGTGAGTTGTAGTAGGGGTCTCATACGCCCAGGGCTCCGGCGATCAGTGAGTGAGTTTGAACCTCGTAGCCCCTGGATCTCAGAGAATACACCTCTGGCTGACACCTTGAGAGCTAGGGGCTACAAGGTTCAAACTCATGCGCTGATCGTCAGAGGCCTGGGCGCATGGGATCCCAGTAATGAGCGAGTGTTGAGAGAATGTGGAATTGGTCAGTGCTATGCTCCGCTGATGTGGCGACTTATGGTGTCAGATGCCATCAGGTGGTTGAGAGACATCTACCTAGAACACATCACCGGACATAGGCAACATCAGGAGAGATGAGCTGCAGTGCCGATAAGAAGCACAGACAGGAAGGTAACTCAGATACTTCCCTGATGGATTGTATTTTTTAGCAGACAACCTACCCTAAATTCTCAATTACTGAGACAATCTTCACTTGTTGATATATTTGCTTTTCACAATCAACTCTCTGTATAACTTTTTATGAGTAATGTACCCAAATGTTTGGATGCTAATATCTAAACTGTATTGTTAAATTTATTCACCTAAATTTGGGTTATTGCTGATTATGTATTATATGTATCTTATGACTTTTAAAACAAAATTTGTATTTGTGGATAATCTAAACACTATACCCAGATATACAGACACTCTTTTCTTAACCTGTATATTGTATAATTTTTTAACATTCGCTTTAATAAAATGTTTAAGTCTGTTCTCTGCAAAACACTACATGGAGTTTTAGCCAAGGAGTTTGCACCTCTCATACAAAATTGTATACATATAGTTGGGAGTTTGGACAAAGCTAGCTTATATTTTTGTAGCACAGCAGGAATGCTTTCTATCAAACTCTGTTTCATTGCTGTTACTTTACCATTGGTGAGAAATGTTATTTATATCTTCGCCTTCATGTTTGATCTGTGCTGGTGAAAATGGCAGTTATTTCATGCAGCTTACAAAGGTGTGGTAGGCACTTTGCAGAGAGTGTGTAGGATGCTCGTTATCTACTTAAGCATGATGTGACAAATGAAGATTTAAAAAAAAGAGGGAATAGGGAATGGAGAACACGAAGGCTCCAAATGTAAGGTCACGCATTTCCTTATAGGTTACTGCACATTTCATGTTGCCATTTTTTGTTACTTTATTCAAAAATTAAGGTTTCTTTTTACAGGTGTGGGTAGAGAAATATGTATGTAGAGGAGATGAATGAGCATGAGACTAGGAGGGAAAGGGAAAGGGTGCAGGGTGGGGTTGGAGGATGCCAAAGATACTGGATGGAGGATGAGTTTGTGTGAAAGAAAAGTGGTGGGGAGGCAGTGAAAGACTTTGGGAGAGAAGCAGATTGTGGGGATGAGTCTGACAGAAATGGGAATCAGGAAGCAGTCTGGTGTGAGGGGACTCATTACAAGCAGGAAAAGCAATGGCCCTGCACTCATCTCAGCTGTAATGTTGTTAATGGTGGATGTGACCAGTGTTCTCTTGAAATTTTCCCACGCATGTGCAGAATGAATTTTGTTATGTGCACTGATATGGAGGTGATGTGTGACACATCACCTCCATATTGGTGCACCTAACAAAATTCATGTAGCAGGTGTGGGGAGGGGTCTCAGGGCTGGGGCAGAGAGTTGGAGTGCAGGGGGGTGAGGACTCCAGCTGAGGGTGGAGGCTCTGGGGTGGGGCCGGGGATGAAGGGTTTGGGGTGTGTGAGGGGTCTCAGGTCTGGGGGGGGGGTGAGGACTCCGGCTGAGGGTGCAGGCTCTGGGGTGGGGCTGGGGATGAGGGGTTTGGGGTGCAGGCTGCCCGGGGGCTACATCAGGGAGAGAGGACTCCCCGCATCTCTCTCTCCCTGCAGCAACACCTGGGCTGGTGGGGGGAGAGGCGCCTCTCTCTGCCGCGGCAAGTCCGGGGTTGGAGGAAAGGCATCACTCCCCACCGCAGCCCTGAGCGCCTGTGCGGCACTTAATAGGCTGCTGCGTGGCCGCGCAGCTTAGAGGGAATTTTGGTTGTGACAGATGTTGCAATATCTTTGCAGACCTTATTGTATTAAGTTAATGAATGGTTTATGTATCACTGTGGGCCAGGGCTTGTATTCAGCTCCAGGGGGCAGAGTTACAACTCCTCCAGGAACCAAAAGCAGTGGGGGTTGATTAAGGTGAATCACTTAGGTTGTAAACGCCTCCAGAGAGGTGGTACCCCTGGGGAGGCTTGCATATACTGGTTCAAACTGGGGTTTTCCACAGACCAACAGACACAGAAAGGGGTTTTTGATTCAAAAAGGCTGGGTTTAAAATGGGCAAAGACCTTCTGTTCAAAGGGAGCCCCCAACCCTTGCAGAAGGTTTGGAGAGACTTTGGCCTATTAGGGCCCCATAAGACTGCTGGGTGATTTCTGGTAAGCTTTTATCATGCATGTAGGAACTTTTGTTGTTGTTTTAATGTTTTCTCTGTAACACGGTTACTTTAAGAATACATGTGCTTGCTTAGAAAGAGCTGTGTGATAACTTGTAGTTGCTGGCCATACATTGTTCATAGCCCTTAGAGAGAAAGCAAAGCACAGGTGTTAGTCTTTAGGTAGACTGGCTTGGTGGGGATAGCACAGTGTAAAGTAGGGAATTGTGCAGCCATAAAACCCCATCAGAAGGGAGTAGGATAATGGTCCTTGCCCAGAGACAGGTGGTGGCTGGAGACCTGACTGGGCACTCCTGGAGTGGACCACGGGGGGGAAAGAGGGAAATACAGGTGCAGTTACCCTGAAATTGTGACCGCAGTGACTGGAGCTGAAGGCTTTTAGAGCTTTATCAAGGCAGCCACTTGATCTGGCTGAAGGTCTTACCTAGTTCGTAACTCGGTATTCTTATCTAAATCTCTGGAAACAACTTATAACTTTCCACCACAAAGTTTGTGGGAATTTTCCTCCTGACAAAGGAAGGTGTGTGGATATATTTGTATTCTATTTCCTTTGTAGTAATCACTGCTGTTTCTTCAACAGGCTGAATATTCAGAACTAGTTGAAACATTACTATCAAGTCAACAAGATCCAGTCATTTACCAGCGGTTAGCAGATGCATTCAACAAGCTTACTGCAAGCAGCACTCCTCCTTCACTGGACCGTAAGCAGAAGATGGCCTTCCTAAAGAGTTTAGAAGAATTTATGGCAAATGTTGGTGGACTCCTCTGTGTAAAATAAACAACAACAAAACTCTATGCCTAATTTAGACCCTTTCTGCAAAATGCACTGAGAAATGCTGAAAGCTGACTAAACCTTGTACCTGTTTCTGGGTTCTTTGCAGCCATCTCAGATTTTAGAGAGCCTGGAAGTTTGATATAACACAGTTGAATAGGAGAGGTCAACTTTGAATCAGCTTCTGCTATTGTGTTAGTCACAATCTGTCATTACTTGTATGTTGTAGAGAATGAACAAAAAATTGAAATTTAAAAGAAAATTCCATATATGTGCAAACAGATATGGGCACAGTGAAAAATAGTGCCTTTTCCCCATTAGCTTAAAACATAAGTGGCTGGACAAACTTTTAAAGATTTTTTTTTTTTTTCTGAAAACCATATTAGAGTATGATGTAGACACATACAAAACTGTCAACCGTGTAGCTGATTGAAGCTTTATTTTTTCTCTCTGAAGATTGAGTTTATGATCCAAGGGAAAAACACCAAATGGTATTTTTTTAACTTGTGTTTAGTTTTGGTTTTCTACATCACCTGATGTTGCATGTTTTATGTAATACAGGTTTCTACATTATATTCTGCTGCCTAAAGTTCAGAAGGAAAAAGGTGTATATTTTTGTTCCCCTAAAATGAACTTTAGGAACTGTAGCCATTTCATTGCCTTAATTTAAAACAAAACAAAAAAAAGTGATATACTTTAGACAAGAAATCTAAGGCAACATTTGAGTCTTCAGAGTTGGTTCAGGATGTTGGCATTAAGCTGCTGTGTACCTGTTGCAGCCCTTTTTGTTGACATGTGTTATGTTGGGGTGTGAGTCTAATGCAACATTCATGTGTAGTTTTACTTTCACTATCTGTTTTAATCCACATCCAAGTCACGCACAGCTGCAACGTATTTCTACACTGAACTGTTTGCTTAAGCAATAACAATTCAAAGGGTGTAAATTATTGATTTATACAAACTGTTTTTAAGTTGGGGCATTAGATAAAATAATTATGCTAGACTAGGGGTTTCAAACTCTATTTTACCCAAGGGCCATATACATTTGATTCAAGGGTTGGAAAGATAATTAGGATTTGTGGTGATTTTTTTCCACCATCACCTCCAGATTTGTGGTGCTCTCCTCTGCTCTCACTCAGTTTTGTGTGTCAGCACTTGAGAAGTTAAGATGTACATACATTTCATCCTGCCAACTGATAGACGGATATAGTGGAACAACAAGGGAGAGTAACACAAGAATACGGAAGCAAGGCATACTTTGCCAGTAGTCATAAACCTGACAAAACTGAGGCAAACGCACATTCTGCATGCCAGATAAAATTGCTTTTTGTGAGGGGTGTGGGTGGGGAAGAATTTGGCCCTTGGGCCTTGTGCTTGATACCTCTGCTAAATTGTGCTGTTGAATGTTTTCCATGTGGTTTTTACATTTATATAAAATGTACAGAATATACACCTTTACAGTGCTGTGTATAGCATCATGTTTGCAACTCTGTGCCATCCTTCAGCTGTTCATCTCAAAACCAATCATATTACCCAAAATGGCATAAGTCTGTAGCACTGTGCTAGTCATAGTGATTCAGGACGTACTTTTTGAGTTAAATTCATGCATGTAACAATGTGAATGGAATACAAGGGCAGAAAGTGCCATCTTTTCAACAGAATTTTTTCACTTTTATTTTAATCCACTGTTAATATGAAAACTGGGCTGAAGCAAACACACACTTTAAAAGGTAACCATAAAATTTGTTAGACAACATCCCTTCACAGTTAATATTGTATATCGTCTATTTGAACATATTTGCAAGACAGGGAATTGTCTTCAAATTTATTCCTAGAAACCCTATCGCTTTCCTTAAGAGATTTCTTGTGTGTGCAACAAAATTACTCTTGCACTAGTGATGGGGAATTACCATTGTATCCTTCTGCATTATTCCATCTTTCTTCCAATTGTTCCAGCAAATGGATGACAAATTTATTGGAGCTGCTTTTAAAGTTCACGTCTGAGTTTTTACTTTTTATAAAAGTAAGTGTCTTCAAAACATAGTCCTTTGGCTGAAGGGCATTAAGTCCTAGAAACATGAGCAACAGTAATAATTGCTAATCTACCTGGCAATACCAAGAGTTGAACCTCTGGGGCAGATTCTTCAAAGGGATAATGACAAATATTTTTATTTTTTCTGGCTCTTATTGATTAAGAGTAATAACCACTGTCATAACAAATGGCTCCAATATTTTCAGAACTACTTTATTTACCTCAATATGAACTTCTAAATTTTTATAAACTATGGAAATTTGGGAATTCCCTAGAATAATTAAGTCAGCAATAAATCAGCCTACTAATTTGTTAACATTCAAACAATATAGTACACCTACCAATTACCTTTTAGATGAATCTGGCCCATTGTGTGTTCAAGACAACTGACACAATGTAGCTGTTTTTGTAGCTACATTGATGTTCAAAAATTGTCAAAGATTACTTAAAATGTTATGTTTGTTTGCTCTTTTATTTTAAACATATGTTTTATGTTAAAAGGACACTGTCCAGTGTTTTTAATTTGCAATTTTTTAACTTTGTCACATATATCTCATAAGCTTGACAACATATTTTTCCTATTTTTGTTTTTTTTTCCTTTCATGTCAGAATGTTAAACATTGATCTTCCCACCCCATCTAGTGTTTCTTGTAGAGCAAATGCAAAGATATTTCTGCATGCTTGTGTAACAACCTCATAGATGTCACTAAAGTTCTGGGAATACGTTTTTGTTAAGTTCTGGCCTTTCTGCTGGCTGTTTCAGTACCTAAACTACTTGATCACACTCTTCTTAAAGACAGACTTCAATGAGATTCTTTGAAACTCAGCCACTAAGAGCAAGAGCCGAAGTCTATACAACAGACTCCCAATGACTTCAGGGGACTTTGAATCAGGTCCTAACCTTCTGTTTAGAGACACTGATGTGATTAACATCACTGCATTGAGTTTCCACTCACTGTACAAAGTGAATAATGCTTTTTAAAAATTGTCAATTTTTTAAAAAAAATAGGCATAGAGAAATCAAATTGATTTAATTATAAACCATGTCTCATAACTGTACTATACTTTTGTCAAAACTTAAGATGATTTTTTACCAAAATAGATTGCTATCACAGTGTCTTAATTCTCAGGTTAGAGATCCAAATAATTTTTCTCTTCCCTGCATCTCCCCTTCTTTTTGGTTTAAACAATAATTTCTAGCTTCAGGGTTTCCCAACCCCACACAGCTACTGTTTAGCACTAACCTAACTACTTCCCTATGCTTCAACCCACTAGAGGCTAGAGTCCTGTAAACAAAGGGTATCTGGTTGGGTAATGAAATACAAGGACTGGGGGAACAGAGGTCCATGCGGATTAGGGAGGGATTGTGTTCACTGAACCTCCACTTCCAGGCCTCATTACATCTTAATTATCTCCTGTAAATCACATAGGAAGTCTGTTTAATGCGGTACCTAATTGGCAAGAAGTTTTCTCCTTGAGTGATAAAGGACTTTGTTTTCCTCAGAATTTGGAAAAAACTGTTTCCTCTGTGCATCTAAATCCTGCTAGTCAAGTATGTCTGAGATTTAAATTTGGGTCTTCTGCCCGATAGTGTATAGCACTTACCTAAGCCACAATTTTTAAAACATGCCTTGTTTTAAACGTTTAGCTGGATATCACCCTATATGTTATTTAAACCATATGGTTTTAGAGAACAACCTTGGTCCAAAAAGTCCATTGCATTTCTTAAATCTAATTATAAAGAAATCATCTTAATTAAAAATTAAAATTAAAATAAATTTAGTACTTCTATTATAAAACATTTTATATAATTGAAACTGAAATGACTTAGTCACCTTTTAAAATAAAGGTGTGGTGTTTTTTTTATGAGAATGGTCAAATGGACTGAGCACAAGAGAGGAAGACAAACTCCTAAATTCTAACACCAGATTTGCCACTAACTCTCCCTGTGGCCTTGAACATGTCACTTAAATTCTCTCTCTCTGTTTCCGCATCTGTACAACTAAGAATACTTACATACCTCATGGGGTGTTGTGAGGATTAGCTGAAATCTATAAAATGTTTTGAAGATCTAAAATGCTATCTAAGTGCTAAATATTTTTCGTTTTACTGCTTATGTAAGGTGGAAGATTGACCACACTGAAAATTGAAGTGCTTTGTACCCATAAGACAGATACAGCACAGGCAGCAGTAGTACTGCAGTATTTCACAGTAATAACAACACCTGCTGTAAAATCTAGTTGCTTGGATTGCTACTGTCAAATATGGTTTTTTTTTTTTTTAATTAAGGGAAGCTTCCCTACCAGTGTGCCTCTCAGTTCTGTTCTAAAGAGTGAGATGGTGGTAGTTTCTGTGCTAACTCAGTCTTTGGTGTCTCTACTGAGATTGCCAGCAATGGTGCCAATTACAGTAGTATTTGCTTTTTGGGGGGAGGAGGGGCAGTATGACATGAACAACTAGCTTGATTAGGAACTAAAATCACTAGCTCAATTTTACAAGGTCCCTGTCTATGCTGGTGAGAGAAACAGTGGTCAGTGTACCATGTGGTTTAATGAATCCGCTTCTAGCACGTTTAGATCTCATCTGCTGTGTTTGGGAAAAACAAGATAGTGTTTTCTAACAAGCACAATGTGGTTTATTAGTGAAGTGTTAACATGATTTCCTTGGCCAGTATAAACACAGTCATAAGTTATCAGTTAATTGTTAGAATCTTTCTCACTAGACTTTTTTGTGGTTGTGCCCTAGGAATCAAGGCATGAGCCTTCCATTCTGCTCAATGGACCAAGATTCTACTTTTCCACCACCACCCCTTTTTTTCTCTCCATTTTTTATAACTTCTGTCACACCACACTCTTTTGAAAAGTTTAGAATATATTGGTAGATGACCCTCACCTCTTCAAATGATAGATGTTAAAATATAGATGCACTATATTCCCATCCACCGTGCCTGATGGTGGCTAAAATCCTTCCTGAGCCCAGTTTTCATGACACTGCAATCTGCCATTGGATTATTCTGGATTTTACAACTAGGAAAATATAAAATATCTTATTTAGTTGATCCCTTTGTACAAAATAAGGAACCTCTATGCAGTGAACTTGCAGTTTTATGGTGACAAATGTGTCAGTCAGTCTCTGTGTAAATATTGTAATTTTTAAGAAGACTGTTTCAAGTTGAAATACAGGGATTGAAGTGCTAGTTAATTTCAAGTATAATTTTACCTGGACATAGTTGAACTTTACTGTTGAAGGTATGAAGTTGCATACTACTTCTTCACATATTGCAGCAATAAGAACTTAGGAAACAAATGGCTATGTAATCAAGCCTTGTCACAAACTAATTTCCAATTTTAAAATGAACACTTTATGTATTTTTTAACATCCGTAAGTGGGGGAGGGTAACATTTTCCACTAAAGATTTTTGTTACATTTTGTTTTGGCCATGTGTGATTTGTGTGTATTCTTGTTTGCTTATTTTTTCTAGTATTTAACTTGCATTCAAGCCCTCAAATAGGCGTTTATTGTACAGTCATATAATAGAAACAGAATATTATGAAATCACAAATCAAATTTTGCTCTTGATTACATCAGTGTAAATTGGGGGTAAATCAACTGAAGTTAATGGAATAACTCTAGATTTAAGTCAACATAACTTGGAGCAGGAATTTGGCCCTAAATATCCAAAAATGCAAATGATATAGATGGTACACAGTAAAACAAGTATTCAGTATCTTCATCAAGAGGGGGAAGGGACAAATGTAAAATACAGTTGCCCCCCAAAAGCATGTAATGAATTTTCAGTTACATACTGCATATGAACAGAAATTGGTGATCTAGAAATCTGTATTCATCCTGAACATCTAAATAGTTTATTTCACTTCTTGGCACTGAAATGTTTTCCAAACTTTATCCTTCTGCTGTGGCACATAAAGTTACATCTACATATATGTTACAGATGCCTTTCAGAAATGTTCAGTTAGCAGCTTCGGTTTCTCATGTGCTGTAAACTAATTGTATTTGGGTTAATCAATAGCTACTCTGAATCTTTCCCCTTTCTCCTCTGCTCATTTAAATGTTCCAAAGAACTGCTTCACAAACCCTGAAAGTAAAATTACACTACAGCTTGCTATATCTTGACTATGTATCACTTTAAACTTACTGGCTTCAGAAGTACAATTATGACCACAGTAGCTATATATTGGCCTGTTTTAGTCCAGTGAAAGCCTGGGTAAAGGAGAGAAGCGTTTTAAGTAGTTTAGAGCAAATCTCAGAGAGCAACTGACAATTTTAAAACAGCAGCGTATCAAAGAGCCTTTCATGTAGATATTGAGTTAATCTGCTTTACATTAACAAATGAGGTCTGGAATAAACTTGAATGATTTGGGTACAAAGCCTTTATTCACACTTATTTGTGTAAGTGTATGCACACAAAAAATTTCATTTTGCCTTTATGTACTACTTGCCTTGACTGTGCATTGTAGATTTCTTAAATTCAATAGCTTCCCTCCGGCCCCCCAGTTGCCATTTGTTGTAAACAAAAATGTTTGAAACAGTCTTCCCAGTGAAATGATTTTATCAGCTATGTTTTAAAGATCAGCAAGACAAAGCTGAAATTAGCTAGTGGGAACAAGCAAAAATCTGCAATCATGATTTGAAAAAATATTAAGTTAATCTTTAAAAATAAATAAGTCACTGAATTTGTTATCCAATTTCATCTTGGTGGGATAAGGAAACATTGGCATTTAAATTAAGCACATTTTTTAAA